CCCCCTCCCCCTCCCCCTCCCCCTCCCTCGACTGTACTTGCCCTGCACCACCTGTACATAGCACCGCTGTGCAAGCCCACTTGTCTTGAGAGTCTTCGCGCCGTCGCCGCCTCGTCTTCCTGTCTGAAGCAGTCCCGAGACATCGGCGGGCCACCACCGACCCTCCCTTTATACGACCACGCGCATCGAGATCTGAACCGCTGCAGCGGCGAATGCGCACTGCGACGTACGAGCGAACCGTGTGAGGAACCGTGGAGATTCGTGTGCATGTGTCGAGCCTTCGTCTAGGAGTCACGGGGAGCCTCTCAGCGGAAGCGCCCACCCGACTACGCAGCTACGCAGCCAGCTACGCAGCTACGGATTCATGGCAACTGTGGCCCAGCAGCGCCAGCCGACGACGACCCAAACTCGTCCCACTCACGACGGAAGCCGCAGTAGTGCCTCTGCTTCGCCTGCCATCATGCCTCCCGCCCAGCATGCACCCACGCCCGCGCCCGCGCCGGCGAAGAAGGGCAAGGGCAAAAAGGCTGCCGACCCCTCGGAGCAGCAGAAGCAGATCCAGGCCAAGATTGCACAACTCGAGCTGGACCAGGCTGGCGACAAGGAGCAGGAGCTCGAAATTGGTGCGTTCACGTGTGTCTTGCAAACCCCTGGGGCAAACCATCTGCAGGTGGCGCACTCGAGGTTGCGCCCACATTTGACTTCTCGAATCGCTGGCTGACGTGTGGACTGGACAGAACGCGAAGTGAAAAAGGCCAACCGCGAACTCTCCTCTCTCCTCTCCAACATCGACGGACCCCTGTTGCGCCTCGAGAGTGTGCAAAAGCGCTATTCGGAGCTGCTGGCGGACATGAAGCGGACCGAGCGCGAGCACCAAAAGGCAAAGAAGCGCGGGGATCAACTACAGAAAGAAAAGGATGCGCAGAGATCCGAATTGAACAAAGTCACAACCATGAAAGACAAGCTGGACAAGTTGTCGCGTGACTTTGCCAAAGAGAACAAGAAGTTGAAGGATGAGTTGCATAAACTCGAAACAAGCGAATCGGCTGCCCGGCAGGAACTGCATGACCGCGTGGAGCATCTAGTCGCTGATGTGGATGAATGTATTGCAGCTACCACAGGGCCCGAACCGCAGAACCAGGCGGAGTTGGAACTGGATGAGCTGTGCGTGCCCATAGTTCAACATGCGCAATCCATGCTAATTATTCTACAGGTTCCGCCAGAAGTTCAAGTCATTCATTGATCAGTACGAGCTGCGAGAGTTGCAGTTTCACTCCCTACTTCGGACCAAGGAGCTGGAAATCCAGTATCAGATGGCTCGATTAGAACAACAGCGCAAGCAACAAGAAGCTGAGTCTTCGAAATCTCATCAATTGACCCGTCAGGTCTCTACATTTTCGCAAACAGAGACTGAGCTCAGAACGCAGCTCAACATATACGTGGAAAAGTTCAAGCAGGTAAGTTATTCACGCTACTCCTCGCTGTCCGATAGCATCTTGGTTAATACTGACTAGATGCAGGTTGAGGAGACTCTCAACAATTCCAATGACTTGTTTCTGACATTCCGCAAGGAAATGGAGGAGATGTCGAAAAAGACCAAGCGACTCGAAAAGGAGAATCAGAATCTCCAGCGCCACAAGGAAATCACCAATCGCAACATTGGTGAGATGGTCGAGGAACGCCACAAGATGCAAGAGGAGCTGGCGAGGAAGACCAAAGAAGCAGAAGACCAACGCAAGAAGATTGCTCGTCTGGAGACGCTATGTCGGGGCATGCAAGCACAGGGGCGCGGCCAGGTTCCCATGAACGAGCTGGAAGAGGATGAAGAGGTTACCGAGAGCGAGTACGAATATGGTGATCACGAGGAAGACGAAGAAAGCGAAGAGTACGACGATGATACGGAAGAGGATGCCATGGATCCAGCACCCGAACAACGCCGGCCTTTTGGCCCTGTCCCACCGCCGCCACCACCACCACCACCACCACCACAGTCGGTCGTGCAGGTAAAGCCCAATGGGCACAAACAGGTCAATGGGCAGATCAATGGCGTCAAGCGCTAACAGCGGACTTGTAGTCCCTTGGATCTCATTGTTAGCAAAGCACTGTGGACTACATGGGTCCGAGGAAAGGGCCATTTTCGTGACTGCACAGGAGTTACCGCGCTGGTTTAGTCTTTACCGTTTCATGGGCCTTGGTAGATCAAGCCAAGACCCCAATGAGGCCGTTCAGTCGTCGTCTTCTGCTGCCACACCAACGCAGGTGCGATCATGGCCGCCCAACAACCATCGCAAACGCTTTTGTAGACGCCTATTGCTGCTGGCGTACGAGATGTACACTACAATCTCCCAAGTCAATACAATCGCATCGGCTGTTTTGATGCTTTTAAATGTTCGTCCCATTGATGATATATTTGACCCTCTGATACGAGGCAGCGACCGACATTAACACCCGACTGTGGTATAGATGCATGATTGCAAGATAATAGTCAACAGCTTTCCACAGTGACTACGTCTACTAGATGATCATCGCCATCTGCATCTGCATCATCGCCACAGTAGCATGGCATTTTTCGGTACAATGCAGCCACCTAGACAGACAGGCCCGGCGCATGGTTGGACTGGCGACTCGACCTGCCTCGGCACGTTTTCCCCGCAAGGACCCTGGCCCTGGCTTCGTCGCGGCTAACCCTACGACAGCTTCCGCTATTTAGCAACCATCCCCCACCCCTTCCCCAACGCTTGCCATCATGTCTGCTCTAGCGTCGCATTGTCGAGCAAAGGGTATAAACTTCTGGCTCATTCCCTTTCTACAATAGTCGCTCTGTTCCTCGTGCTTTTGGCTGCCAAACTGTGCATTCAGAAGGTACTCATCATGGCTCCTTCTCTTCAAACGCCGCTCTCGAAGCTGCTAGGGATCCAATACCCCATCATACTCGCTGGCATGGCACGAACATCTGGTGGCCCCCTCGCAGCCGCCGTCTCCAACGCAGGCGGCCTTGGGGTGATCGGAGGTCTAGGCTACACACCTGCCCAGCTCCAATCCATCATAGACGACCTCAAATCAAACCTTTGCGATCAATCGCTGCCCTTTGGCGTAGACCTCGCACTTCCGCAAGTGGGCGGCAGCGCACGAAAGACAAACCACGATTACACACATGGACAGTTGGACGAACTGATTGAAGTCACTATTAAGAACGGCGCAAAACTCTTTGTGAGTGCTGTTGGCGTGCCTCCTGCGCGGACAATCAAGCGCCTGCATGAGGCTGGGATTCTGATCATGAACATGGTGGGCCACCCTAAACACGCCAAGAAAGCACTCGATGCGGGCGTAGACATTGTATGCGCACAGGGCGGCGAAGGCGGAGGACATACCGGTGATATCGCGAACAGCATCCTCATCCCCTCGGTTGTCGACGTAGCCCGCCAATACAAATCCCCTCTGACGGGCGAGCCGGCCATGGTGGTAGCAGCAGGCGGCATCTATAACGGGCGCAGTCTCGCATCTTCCTTGATGCAAGGCGCACAGGGTGTATGGGTCGGTACTCGGTTCGTTGCTTCGACAGAAGCCGGGTGCTCGCAGATGCACAAGGAACACGTCGTTAGTGCCGATTTCACGGATACCGGACGCACACTCGTTGTATCGGGACGCCCGTTGAGAGTCAGGTACAATGACTATATCAAGGAGTGGCATGAGCGCGAGGACGAGATCAAGAAGCTGACGGAACAAGGCATAGTACCGCTGGCAAAGGATATGGATGACGGAAAGGATGTGGATATTCCCTTCCTGATGGGCCAGGTTGCGGGAGTGATTAGGGACATCAAGCCTGCAAAGGAGATAGTGGAGGATATGGTGACGGAGGCGGTAGAGATGTTAAGGCTAGGGGGGGACATTTATTGGGGGTGGAAGCAAGTTGTAGCAAGTAGTCGAGAACCCTTTCTTTGGGAACTACACAGCGCTGGGAGTTTTGTCTGGGAATGATTGAATTGTGCTATGGCAACTCTAGAAAAGTGTGAAACTTCCGAGGCTGTATCCATACATGAGCATAGTGCCAACATGAGGCACGGATTCTCCAATACCTGCTTTTGAATACGATTCCATCATTGTCTCTCCTTGAATCGCTCACTGGTGCAACGTCACACCCGCGCCCTGCTGACAGGCCCACGGGCATGACATACATGGTTGATTCGCCTCGTCAAGTGTGACACAAGACTTCACCTTTCCATCTTTCTCTTGACAAGCAAAAACGACTCGTCATCAAAAGAGCATCCATGTCAGGCAGCGAATTGTCAAGCAACCCAAGTCGACCACGTTTCCCAGGCAAGTGGACCTTGGATGATCGACACCCAGGATCCCACGCCCACACCCCCCGACCAAGACAAGCCCAATCCGCAACAAACCGCTTCTGCTCAGGAGACAGAGAGCAAGCAACCAGACCGTGAAGCAAAATCTCATCTGGACAGGCAAAAAAAACCTCCCCCGGCCTTGCCGTCGTCCCATCAACACCACCGCACAACGACATCTCTACCACAATCATCACAACTTATTCTTACTTGTACTACCGTATATACCTTCTTTCTTCTCATCCCCACCCGCACATCCACCCGCCCATCCGCCTCGCAGTTCCCCCATCCACTAAACCTAGACGCACCCTTTCGCGTTGGCCAAACCCAAAAACCCCCAACCCAACCCGCAAAAAAAAACCGGCCGAAGAGCACGTCTCCTCACTCCCGCGGCGATTTGTTGCGCGCGCGCCCGTCGCCGCCGCCGCCCCCCACTCCGAACCCCCCAATAACGCGGCCGCTTCAACGTTATTGTCGTTCTTTGGTCCTGGGGAGATTCCAGGTCTCCGTTGTTGTGTATTCTTGTTCTAATTCTTGTTCTTGTCTCTGTTCTTCTTAGTTCATCTGTTCCGCCTCCCGCCTTTCGTTACACACGCGCGCGCGCGTGCCGGTAGATGACGGCGCTGCTATCTCGACCCACACGCATACGCAGCGGCGGCGCGTGGAATGCAGTCTAACATTCGGGCTCAGGCTGAGATTCAGGCTCGGCGGAAAAAGGTACGTTTTTTATCTATACTGCTAGGAGAGGGAAGGGGGAAGCCAGTTGGGTGCATTGTTTGTTTGGTTCGGGTTTCCGCCACCAGGGGATAGGGATACGAGGTCGCAGTTTGAGGGGAAGACTGGGAGGAGAGAGATGTTTGGTGTTTCCTTCTCTGGGGTGTTCATTTGGCTGACAAAAGGGCGGTTTAGCAACTCGCGAATTCGTACAAGCAGTTACTTGAGTGAGTTGTCCCTACTTCTTTTCCCAAGCTGGAGGTTGAATGCTGGATGACTGCGCGCATTCAGGGGAAAGTGTCGGCACCTTGTCTTCATCTTTCAACACAATACATGGTATACTAATCGGTATCATAGTGAATTTGCCGCGGAAGATTTGAAGACGGTCGGGAACTATACTCTGGGCAAACTTATAGGAAAGGGAAGCTTTGGGAAAGTATACCTCGCGACGCATAAACTCACCAATGGGTCGAAGGTATGTCTGCCCTCTTTTCCTTTCCCAACTGGACTGGATGAAGTTGCTCTGGAGAAATAGGAAGCTAATTTGCAGGGCTGCACCAGGTCGTCCTCAAGTCCGCGAGGAAGAACGATGCGAACCTCGCCCGAGAGATACATCACCACCGCCAATTTATACATCCGCACATTGCCCGCCTCTACGAAGTCATAGTTACAGAACAGCTGGTCTGGCTCGCGTTGGAATGGTGTCAAGGCGATGAACTCTACGACTACCTGCTGAAAAAAGGGGCTCTCGAGCCCCCCAAGGTCCAGCGCATATTCACACAACTCGTCGGCGCGGTTTCGTACGTGCACAACAAATCCTGCGTCCACCGCGACCTCAAGTTGGAGAACATACTGCTGGACAAACATGGCGATGTCAAATTGGTCGACTTTGGCTTCACGAGGGAGTACGAGGGAAAATCAAACTATCTGCAGACGTGGTGCGGAACTGTATGCTACAGCGCACCAGAAATGCTAAAGGGGGAGAAGTACGCGGGCGAAAAAGTAGATGTCTGGAGTCTAGGCATCATTCTCTATGCCCTACTCGTCGGTGAACTGCCCTTTGACGACGATGACGAAATCGTCACAAAGACCAAGATTCTCAAGGAAGAACCCAAATACCCCGATACCTTTCCTGCACAGGCGCGCGAGCTGTGCTCCGCCCTCTTGTCGAAACGGCCCATTCTCCGACCGACGCTCGCGGATATATTGCAAAATCCGTGGCTGAGTGAGCATGCGCCGCGACAGCAGGAGACGCTGAAGTTGCAGCAGCCCGCGCCATTTTCCACGGAATTGGAGAAGGAGGTGCTGCAACGAATGAAGGCTGCTGGTGTGGATATTGACATGGTGATTGAGAATGTTCTGGCACAGCGGTGTGATTCCCTGGCCGGGTGGTGGGCATTACTTCTCGAGAAGGAGGAGCGCAAAGCGAAGAGACGGGAGCGCAAGAGGAAGGAGAGAGAAGCCGAAGCGAAGAGTCTTAGGCGATTGAGCGCAGCGAGCAGTGCGTTGGAGAAGATGGCACCGACGATTAGGGAGATTGATGAAGACGGTTTGCCATCGCCTGGAAATAGTCGTACGCCCAAGAGCCGTGGGAGGACTATGAATCGCAGGAGTATGCAGAGTTCGTTGCCCCTTCCCTAAATCCCTTCTCACTCCCCGTCCACTCTACAGTACTAACGAACCTCAATCAGGTGTTCCTGACCTTCCCGACCTCCCCGAATCGAGCTCCATAACCACGCCCACTCTTCCACCGACCGACAAGCCCCTCCCTTCCCTCTCCTCACGCCACTCTCGCACCTCACACTCCTCTAGTCGCCCCCCACTCCCAGCCAAAGATCTCGAACGCCGAAAATCACGCTCCACCATGCTCCAAACCGTAACGACGAACCCAGACCTGCTCTCCCCAAACGGCTTCGTACCCAAGAACCGGCGGCGCAAACAGCCCTTCATCAGCCATCTTGTGTCTCTGCGAAACTGGATCAAAGAAACCAGCAAACGGGCACGAAGTCCGCATTCAAAGGCCAGTAGTGGAGGACGCTCACCAAAGATGTCTGGGCATGGCGGTCTTGGAGGGTGTGCAACTGGGGAACGGGGAGGCGGCGATCCAAAAAGGCTCAGTACAGCGAATCGATCCAGTGCGCATTCAAACACGCTCACGCCCACAACATCGTACCACCAGCCCCGTCCGCGCGTCTCCACAAACGGCTCAGGCTCCGTGCGCCGACTCTCTGCTTCCCCTGCACCCCTAACCCCCCGCTCCAGTTACCGAAGGTCTTCAGGCGGGCTCAGAGGCAGAAAGAGCACTTCCTCCAGTGTATCCTCGATCCGCTCGATGCCACACCACCACCATAGCCATAGCAAAGCCAGCTCTACATCCTCTGCTAGCTGCACTTCGCCTGCCGTCTCGAACTCTGGCCACAGCACCTCGCGTGTGCCCAAGAGCCCGCACGCCAGTGTCAAGGTCCTCCCTGCCACGCCTACTTCGTCGACCTTTCCTTCCAACATCCGCCTGGTGCGCCAGGGATTCCCCACCGAATCCACGGCTGCTTTTGGCTCCGCAGCCGCCATCCCCCCGCAAAGCCCAGGCTTCGTGTTTGCGAAACGCAAGCGCAGTCCGTTCAAGGGGCCCATGCTTAGCGTAACAACATCATCGTCAGCCATGGCGTCCGCTCACGGGATCAGCAATGGCATTGGTGGCGGGGCGTGGAGGAGTCGAAGCGGGAGCGAAGGCGGCAGTCGGGCCACGAGTGTCCAGGGTAGGCGCAGCGGCGAGATTATGGGTATCACAGAGGAAGAGGAAGAGGATGTGGACGAGATCGAGGAGGTTGAGGAGGTGGATTTTAGGGTTGCGTTGGGGGCCGGGGAGTTTATTGAGGAGGAGGAAGGAGGCGAGGAGGGCGCTGCAGTCGAGGGAAAGGCGTAGCGTGCATAGGAACGAAGGTGTAAAGCGGGAGATTGGAGATGAAGAAGACGGGGAAGATCAGAGAGACTAGGCAAGATGGTTTTGTGTAATAACGAAGGTTTGGAGGGGTTGTGTTGCACCCTGATGTATTGACCGCGGGGATTGCTTGGATCCTGGATCCGGATTGTGCATATTCTTCATCGACGACGGCACTTGTTCTTCGCACGAGGCTTGCAGTATTTTTTTCTTTTCTTTTGTTTTTGGGGGTTTCCTAGCGGGTTGGGGAGAGGAGGGAGAGAAGAGGGGGGAGGGTTCTTTTTTCTTATACCTTTGAATTCGAGGCGAGTGGTTTTTTGTACGAAGATTTCTATGGCATTGAGCGTTTATTTGGTTTTTGTTGTTGGTGTGTTGTCGTTGTCGTTGTCGTTGTCGCTGCTACTATTATCGTTGATGGTGGTGGACAAATTCAAGATGGGTGTATAGACCCTTTTGTTCGTCTTCTTGTTCGTCTTCTTGTTCGTCTTCTTGTTCGTCTTCTCCCCAGTATATTCATTCATATATCACCTGCCATCTGCACACACCTTCCACACAAACCCTGCCCTTGGCGTACCTTTGTACTACCTCCCCTTTCCAACTCACTCCGTACCTAACGCGCCAGCCTGGTTGCAAATCAAACGAAACCTTTTATTCTATCTTGCGTTTCCTCGTAGGTTAGCACCCATGGGTCCCGAATTCAAGATACTTCAAAGGGCCATCTAAGGTACGGTACCCCGCACACAGATAGGTGAGTGTTAGATGTTACATATCTGATCGCATTACTGTGGTTTGGCATGGCTTGTGGATAACATCTTTGCAGTGTACAAAATCACGCGTCTGGATCAGTGGGGATGTATGGTATGTACATGGGTTGGTGCTTTTCTCCCTTTCGCCTTGGGCCTTGCCTGTTTCCCGAAATTGCAGCCCGCAGTCCGCTTACCACTTATCGCTTACCGCTGACTGCTTATTGTTTACTGCTTAAAGCTTACTGTGTACTCCTACAACGTTCAACGTACAACACAACGCACACACCCATCGTACGCCATCGTACCAAGATCCAGCTCCGCACCGCAGCGGGTGCTACGCCGAATGCAGATTTCAGAGGGCTAGAAGCGAGATGGACGTGGGATGTCGATGATGGGGGTGGGGGGTATGAGGTAGTACCATGTACGATCTGGGTAGTTTTGTTCTTTCTTGATCTGTTGTTTGTTTTGATGCGATTTGAGATTAGCTGCGTCGCTGCAGCGCGGCGAAAGTAAGTCAGTTTACCTACTCCACTCGACACCTAAGGAAAGCAGGCGAGCTCATCATCCCACGGCGACGATTCCCAACCTCCAAACCAATCCCCTCGCCAGTTTATTGCATTCCCCTTCTTCTACGATGGCCATGTAGAAACGCCTCCCGGGAAGCTTTTGCGTAGAGCTCCGTGCGCCAGTGTGCACACATGTCCATGTGCATGCCACGTGTCTTGTGGTACGGTACGATGGGGGATACAATGAATAGGTAAGGAGGGGTACCGTAGCATTCTTCCTGGCACAGTGGGTGTGCAATACGCAGTACACGGTACACAGCATATTAGCTTCGTGCATCTAACACGATTCGATTGCAGCAACGAAGCATGGCGCTGAAAAGGGCAGCGCAAGGGAACACTTTCAACACAGCACAGGACGTGGTGGAGCGCTGATGCGGCTTGCCATTCAAGGCGAGAAAATGCGGTGTGCTGTGAGACATGAAAAGACGGTCGAGGTATACAGTCAAGTACGGAGGGGAGGTATATGGACTATGTGTTCTGCATGCACGAGTGACTTTTGTGTGTCTCTTAGCGTAAGCCGCAATTTCTAGCTCGGCCGTTATTGTGGGAGTGAACGATGTGAGCTCCCCTTTTCTAACCCTATGCGGACCGTATTGTTGCTAATCTGTGCAATGTGCATGCATGCGGAAGGGCGCGGGACGAGGCTGTGACGAGAGAATGGGGTAGGTTTGAAGCATGTCTTGATAGCGCAATCATTTAGTCTCTGGTGTGTATAGTGCTGTGATTAGAATAGGCGGATATAGCATAGTAGATTCAACAGGGCGGCAATTTGCGTATCGTGCTATAACGGCTAGTTCGGTGTATTGACAAAGTGAGATTTGATTGAAATCAAACTTGGTAGTGGTAGTAAGCGTAGTATGTAGATGAACTCGGAGGCTTGGGAGTAAGGCGTTTGTGAGTTGAGATGTATGTGGTTACCTACTGGCAGGTTACCGTAGTGTATTATAGATTTGTTTGTTCAGTCAATGTAGTGCGACTGGTCTCTCTGCGTGTACACCATGTCAATATCTACTCTACTGTAGTGCATTTACTCTGAATCACAAGTAAAAGTTCTTGAAAGTGCCTTAATCACAGTGATCAGCCTTTCGGTTTACTTACTATATTTTGTGGCCAAACCTTTGCCCCTTGCCGGTAATGTGCAGTCTAAGGTAGTAGTGAAAAATAAATTCGTACTCCAAGTGATCATCTAATTGGAGAGAACAATTTACTTAAAAAGAAAATAAGCTGCAGGCTGTGACTCTGTAAGTCCAACCCACCCAAGGCCAGCAGTTTTATCAGCTGTACATAAATGTGGCCCAGTCTTGCTAAAAAAACACCCGGAAATAAACTGGTGCCGACCACGAGCCTTACTTGCTTATTCGACCAGCCCCCTCAACTCAGCTATCATGTATGAAGCTTCCAGGGTAACTCCTCCTTT